TAACTCAATCATATCTTCTCATCTCTAATGGTCATTTTGATCTTCCATTCTGTAGCTTGCTTAATTTATATAAGTTGCCATTTTTCTATTGAAATATTTCTGTTTTTTTTTTCTTTTTTCCAAATTTGTAAAAAACTTATTTTTCCTACTTCATGGATAAGAAATATTTTTTCCAGAATTTTATTTCTTCCAAATCCATCTATCTAGGAAAGAAATTGAAATGAACCTGAATATTACAGAGTATAAAATATATGTTGCATTCTGGTTGAATTAAATATTATATTATAAATAAATATTAAGGCAGACAATTTCAGTGTCTATGCACAATCTTGAGCTGAGGAAAAAAACTAAGCCTAGAGAGTCAGAATCCATGAATGAGGAGATGTACTAAATATGCTGAGCATATCTTAATTACTTTTTAAGTTGTTTTATGTGAAATATGTCTCAAACCAAGTTAATAAGCAGTTTTCATAAACAACTGGAGACTCCTTCTGATGTAGAAATCAAAGGCTTAGTCGTCTAACCTCAGTTGACACCTGAGAAAGTTAACCTGTGAAACAAAGAATTCCTTCCTGATGGAAGTAAGTGGCTGCAGAGAACTCACTGAAGAGTTTACAAATCCCAATCCATAGCACAACTACTGACCGGGACTTTTGTTTGATAAGGTATTTTAGTCCCATTGTCATTTCCTTTGTATTAGAAGTTCAGGATAGAGTCCCCAGAGAAAGGCTTCCTTCGTGCAAATCCACGATGCCAGAGGCGTGCAGTGGTGGGGATGGTCCCTCCCCAGGGTGTGCCAAGCCACTATAAACGGTGGGGAAGGGACTCACCAGTGCAGTGCCAAGAGTTCTGCCAGAGACAAGAAGCCAACCCTGATAGGGAAAGTACTTGACCCGTAGCAAAATGGACTGGGAAAGGTCTGTAAGGTTAGCACAGATGTGAGTTTTGAGCGAAGGACACCATCAGAGCACACTCCAGCACCTGCAGGGCTGCCCGACACCTGCCAGCCCTGAATGGGAGACCCCATAGCTTGCTGGTCACTGAGGAAGTCGATGTGTTTCACTGAGTTGCTACACAACTGAGAAACACAGGAGGATGTCATTTATCTGTGCACTTTAAATTGATCCTATTGAAAGCAAGACTTCTTGAACATAAAAATAAATTGATCTTCTCTAATGCTAAAAATCACAGGTAAGCAGAAAACACTTTTTAAGTTACTAAATAAAATTACATTGAAGTTTGAATGTCACTTTTTACATATAGGAGAGTCTTCAGTTCTAATCTTCAGTTTGCTATTTAATTTACTCTGGGAACTTGAGAAAGCAATTTAATTTCTCTGAGCATAAAAATTCATGTTTCTGCCTACAAATTTCATCTTTTATGAACTGGGAAATATTTATGACAAACATCCTTGTTCTGCTAAACCAATCTACAGAGTGTTAGCTGAGTGGGGAATAAAATGATTTATATCATTTATCTTTATATTCTAGCCAAAAGAAGGTTTCTGAAAGACTATCTCATGTGGATGTGAGGTAATTTGAGAAAACATAAAACAATTCTTTGATGAAAGGAAAACATCAATCACATCATGTTATAAAAAGTAAAACTGATATCCAAACTATTGAGTTTATTACAGTTTACTACTATCAAATTAAGCAATGGCTTTCAGGCAGACTGGGGACTAAAACTCTTATTGCCTTTCTTGTCTTGATGTTCTTTCATGATGGTGTTTAAAAAGAGAATCTCGAAACTCTGCTGAACCTCGTCTTTTTGAATACTCAAGTTCAGATAGGGAATGAGAAAATTCAACAGGGTGATGACCAAAAGGCCAACCAATGCACAGGTTAACAAAGGCAGTGAACATCAGTATTTGTCTGGCATGTGCTCTAAACTGGCTTAACGCATCCTGTGGTGATCACAAACACTGTGAAGCCCTGTGAGCAGCCTCTGAAATCGGGTTCTGCTAACCTCTGCCTTGCTCCACCTCCACTGTGCTGTTTCTGGTCTGCTGGGCAGCTCACGGAGTTCAATGAATTCTTTTGGATCCCAGGTGCATACTTCCCACTTGAAAAGAGAAGAATATTATCTTGGTATGCTGGCAAGGCAGCTTTACCCGACATTGGGGAAATCTACCTGATGCCCCAAGATATGAGCACAAGTTGCAAATGACTGGGGCAGGTGTTCACAGCAAGTGGTCCGGAGCCTGCTGGACACAATGTCAGAGAGGCAGATCAGGCACCCTAGTTTTATATTGTTTTCTTTTACTCTTTATTTATTGACACTTCACTCCTGAAAGCAGTGATTTGAATAGATTTCAAATTACTTAAAACTTGTAAAACAAAATTTTACCACGACTATTCATCTAAAGATATGCTGCTAAGAGTGAACGGCATTTGAGGTCCCTGGAAGACGGGTTAATGAGCAAACACTAGGTAACGCTGGGTGTGAGCAAGTGGTAGCCTGAGACACCCACCCCTTGCCTTCCAGCCTCCATCCTCCTTATTCTGACCCAGGTCTTCCTGCGAGTGGTCAATATTTTTCCTCTGCCTGGACACCCAGACAAGGCAGCTGCTACTTTGTAGTAAATGGAAGAGTGGGGAGGTCAGTTGGCTAACAGAGAATTCACGATTTTCTCAGCAGAGGATCCCTGAAGAGGCAGCCTTGCTGAGTTCTAAGGAGAATCTCCAAATCCAGCACTGGCTCAGGAAGGGCTGAGACCCAGATTGGAGAGAGAACAGGCCTTGGTCCCTGGTGGCCAGAGGGCTCGGGGCAGTAAGGGAAGATCGCTCCCCTCCTTGGTGCTGCAGGCCGGGACATCATAACCGTCCACACCACGCAGGAATCCCAGAGCAGCGGTGACTCCATCTGCAGCTGTACCAGGATGGCAGGGGTGCACCCGAGGCACATGGCACCCTGACAGTGTGGGTTTGAGGGAATCTGTGCAACTCAAGGACTCTGTGAAGTGGGGGACATCTGTCACTGAGCTACAACCTGCTTTGCAGGATTCCTAGCTTCTCTGGCAAAATATGTTTTGACTAAAGGAAGATGAAATGCTCCCGCACCCCACCCTTTAGATCCTAGTTTCTGCCTGAATTTTAAGGAAGTATCAAGAGGTTTTTTAAAATTGGATTTCTTATGAAGATTAGTACCTTCATGGAAACCAAAGTGTTCCCTAAAGCAAGGCTCGTCTGAGAGAAGAAAGCAGAGAACGAACTGGTGAGTAGGCAATCTTTTAAAAATTTCTAAAGTAACTCACACTTATTAAAGAGTGGGGGAAGAAAAGGCAAATTTGAAAGTCAAGTTGGCTTTACACGCCCACCTCAGTTCCCTGGGTGAGACTTTCTTCACAGTGCTCAAGGTAGCCTTCTGTTTACATCTAACATGCGGCTGATACTGTTTTCCTCCTTCATGTTTAGTAGCTCCTTCTCTCTTAGAGATACACTGGGACATCACTTCTGTATCTGTCTGTATATCTCAGATTTCATATCAGACGAGGTCAAGGGATATTTTTCAGGAGACTGACAATTCTATAATAAGTAGGAAAAATTAAAACACACACTGCTAACCTTTGGGTAAATGTGAATAAAGCTGAATAATATATACTCTGATATTAAAAAAATTATTTAATTACCATTGAGACTTCCTTGGGAGAGTTGGCATACTAGACCTTCAGGTTTAGGCTCTGAGCAGTCTCTGCTAGGAGCATCACAGTTCTCATATGAGCATTGCTCCTCTGCAGACCATAGCACTTCTCTGTCCTGGGCATTATGCACGGAGGACATTTGTACTTCACAACAGATGGTCCCTGTGTCTCTGTTGCTGAGGCTGACGCCTGAGGTTGGTTCCTATGTCTCTATTGCTGAGGCTGATGGCTGGGGCTGCTCCCGGTGTCCCTATTGTTAAGGGTGATGATTGGGGCTGTTCCTGTGTTTCTGTTGCTGAGGCTGATAGCTGGGTCTGGTCCCTGTGTCCCTATTCCTAATGCTGATGGCTGAGTCTGGTCCCCATGACCCTATTGCTGAGGCTAATGTTTGGGGTTGGTTCCTGTGTGTCTGTTGCTGAGGCTGATGGCTGGGGCTGGTCCCTGTTGCTGGGGCTGAGGGGCTGGGGATGGTCCCTGTGTCCCTGCCTTCTGGATAACATTGGACATTACATGAGGAATGGAAAGCGAGTTTCATCAGGCAGCACTCTTTCCACTGGCAACCCAGGAAATCTGAAGGTCTAAACATCATAATCCCTGTATGAGTACCTCGTTCCTCGGATCACTGCACTTTCTTTCATCCATACCCCTGTTCTAGAGGGCAGCATCTAGACTAAGAAGTGTGCAATCATGCTACATATCAGGAAAACAAATGAGGAGCCTGAAGATCAGAGGACCAGAACATTCCCCGAGCACTATAACTGACCTGAAAGGGAACTGTCTGACCCAAGGCCTGACAATTTCAAATGTCATGTTATTAAAGCATCCTGTACAAACTCCACATTTTCTAAAAGTAGAAGAGTGTGTCTCCTTAAACTACATCTGATAACTATCTAGGAAGAGCCTCTCTGCATTCATTTGGGAGGTGGGCACGAATAGTGGGAAGGGGAGGTTAAACAATTTAATCCCCAAACCAAGGAATCTCATAGGTGTTGAGGATAAATTAGAACCAGTGGAAAGGCAGGAATAGCATCTTAATCTGCCTGATAGAAAGCAGTGAGAACCGAGTAACAATGAAATACCAAGGGAAAACCCTGTGAATGTAGACATCGCTCATATGCTTTAACTTTCAAAGTCATCTTGCTAAGAAGCTGTTACAAAATTGTCAATTTTTGAAATACCTCGACAAGTAGATATTTATATTTCTCCAATTGTTTTCACATTCTTAATATGATCAATCTATAAATTTGTGCAAGTCACCAGCCAAATGAGTAGCTAACTGGCATAATCAATAAGATTATGTTTATTAATGTACTGATGTGTTTTTTATTTCAGGAAACCAAAGGTCGGGTCATTTATCATGAGCAGGGCTAACGAGAGTGCCCCACAGGAGTTCATCCTGCTGGGTTTCTCAGATCGACCCTGGCTAGAGCTTCCGCTCTTTGTGGTGTTCCTGGTCTCCTACGTCTTGACCATCGAGGGCAATATGACAATAATTCTTGTGTCTCATCTGGATCCTAAACTCCACACGCCATGTACTTCTTTCTCACCAGTCTCTCACGTCTGGACCTGTGCTACACCACCAGCACTGTTCCGCAGATGCTGGTGAACATCGCAGCACCAGGAAGGTGATCAGCTATGGTGGCTGTGTGGCCCAGCGCTTCCTCTTCCTGGCCCTGGGTTCCACTGAATGCCTTCTGCTGGCTGTCATGTCCTTTGATAGGTTTGTGGCTATCTGCCGGCCCCTCCGGTACTCAGTTATCATGCACCATGGGCTCTGCCTGCAGTTGGCAACTGCCTCCTGGGTGAGCGGCTTCAGCAACTCCGTTCTGCAGTCCACCTGGACCCTCCACATGCCGCTGTGTGGCCACAGAGAAGTGGACCATTTCTTCTGTGAGGTGCCCGCGCTGCTCAAGCTGTCCTGTGCTGACACAACAGCCAACGAAGCTGAGCTGTTCTTCATCAGCGTGCTGTTTCTCTTAATACCCGTGACCCTCATCCTCATATCCTACACATTCATCGTCCAAGCAGTGCTGAGAATACAGTCAGCAGAAGGTCGCAGAAAGGCATTTGGGACCTGTGGCTCACACCTGATTGTGGTGACACTTTTCTATGGCACGGCCATCTATATGTACCTGCAGCCGCCATCCCCCTCCTCCAAGGACCGGGGGAAGATGGTGTCTCTTTTCTATGGAATCATCACACCCATGCTGAACCCCATCATCTACACCCTGAGGAACAAGGAGGTAAAGGGAGCTTTTAAAAGGTTGATTTCAAGGGCCTTCTTAATAAACAAGTAAGGGATACCTGATGGCAGGCCTTGATAAAGGCCAGAGGATTCACATGGCTTACTGTAGTCCCTTCTGCTGCTTTACTCTCAAGAAGATCATGGTGATCTGCAAATGAAAGGCTTCCATGGAGAACTGCATTTGTTTCTACTGCTTAAGTGTGTTTATTGGGTGGTGCTGAGAACTAGTCTTTTATGACTCCCCCAAATTCTGTGGTTTTAAATCTTTACATTCTCAAGCTTTATAAACCCTGGTTAGTATATTTGAAGAAGAGTCTTGGACTTCTTTGAGATTAAATTAAAAGCCCAGAAATTCTTCCCCCAGAAATAAAATGCTTTTATGCACACACACACACACACACACACACACACACACACACACTGACCTTTAGACATTTGCAAATCTAACAGAAGGCTATAAAGCTACCCATAGCCCCTTCCTGATTATAAACACAAGGTTAGTAACCCTAGCCTAAATTGCAACATTATTCGCAATACTAAAATCCATGATAATTTTTCCCAGAGTTTCACTCTGATCTCCCAGTCTTGTTTCTGTACTTTCCACTTCTCCTGCATTGAAATCCCATCCCATCCCATCCACTGAATAAAACTGCAGCTGCAGCTCACATCCGAATCAAGTCACTGCCTCCTGACACTTTTCTTTCTGATTTCTCCTACTGTGTATATTCTCTCTCTTTCTGCGTGAAGTCTGGGTAGCTCATCACATAACCACATCCACTGCATGTTCAATGATCTTCTTCTAGGAGGAAAGCAGTTAGCTCAGTACTCAGCCCTCAGGGAGCACAGACTGTGACTTGTTTTTCTTGCACTAGGACTTCAGAACTCATCAAAGTGTGAAGGAACTATCTGCATGTTGGCAACTGCCTCCTGGGTTAGTAGCTGGGTTAGTTAACTACCTGGTTAATTGTGTGATTTGTTGCATTGCAATTAACTGCTTATTCACTATCCTTCTTTTTCCAATGCTTTCTTCCACCAAATATATCAAAAACAGAAAATACAATAACTAAGAAACACCATTAGGTCATTTTTTCCTCAACACCTTATAGTAACAACTGATATTTTGCCTCACTATAATGCCATGATTTATCTTAACACTGTGACATACATCCAAGTCCCTTGGAGGGCTTCTAAAATTCAGTCCACTCTTTTTATGTTTTCTAAAATGAACAATTGATTCAATATATTGTGTACTAGTAAATTTTAAAGACATTCACACCAAAATTCCATAAATATTTTGCTATCAAGATATTTATAAATATATATAATAAAATAATTTGTAAATAAATATATGATCACTGAACTCCATTCTAGATTCATTTAGAACAACGACAACAAAAATCTAAATTTCAGTGCTTTAGAAGCTACAGACTGATTACAGTAGGGAATATTGTGTGTGTGTGTGTGACATGGTTGATTTCTGAGTAGAGTTTGCAAAATTTCTCATCATGCTTTTGCATAATATGGAGCAATGATGATCAAGATGATAGAACAATTGTTTGTTCCCATCTGCTTGTGAAACCCTACTCAAAGTGAAAATACAATACTAGGCCTTGGAAAGAAGCCCTACTGCCACAGACATACATCTCTGTCCTACTACAATGGGCATTTAGTGATACATGGCATGAACTGAATGAGGACAGGCTGAACAAGCTAAAAATGACACTGAAGGGAGAGAAATCTAAAAATAGAACTTAAAAACAAAAGAAAGAGGTGGAATTTAGCATGGCTCAATATGGACATTTTACTTCATTGTACCTTCTGCAAGGCGTGGAAATAGGACAGGCAGTGAATCCCCGAGGGTCTCATCTGGGAATATGTGCTGATAATCAGAGGCTGATAAGCTGTTGGTTTGGAGATTTGCATTTAAGAGCTGTCTACAAAACTAAAACACCAGCACAGAATAGTGGCTGAAGCATGGAGTGAGACCACCATGCTTCCTCAAGAGCTCTGGAGCTTTGGGTGTGTCCATGTGGAGCAGGGAATGCTTAGGCCAAGCAGAGCAAGTGGCTGGCACCAAGCACCAAGCATCAAGGGTGGTCATGAGCACAGTGCAGTTTGTTTCATAAAGGTCACATTTCTAAATAATAGGTGAAAATTGGCAGATTGTTTAGCATGATATAATAAAGGACTCACACTGGGATGAAACAGTTGAGCATTCTGATATATGGGAAAAAGGAAAGCTGAGATTGAGTTAAGAAACCGACACAATGCATTTCTTTTTTAAATTCTGTTTTAGGAACTTCCTACAGTGAAATCATAATTTGTCACAATCATTTAACCTGTTAATGATCAAAGGAACCAATACAGGTAGGGAAAACCATAGCTATAATCAGACCTGAGGGAAATGTCAGACTGAGGTGGTCTCTTGCAGCATGTAAGAGAAGGGCTGGGAAAGCTATTCTGACTTTGCACATACAAGTCAGCCCTGGAAAACACGGAATAACTTGGTGGGCAGACAGCTCTGTGGAGATATAATTTCAACACTGGAGGAAACTGGGCTACACAGCTTGTAAGATCCCTTCCAACCAAGAAGCCCATGGCTTTACCAATACAATATAAGAGGAATCCAGTTACATATAAAAATAATTTCTATAAAATAAAATTTTGGATCAAGTGAAGTAACCAATGGTATTAGTTCCCTGCTAAAGCAAACTGCCACATTATGGTGGCTTAAGACAACAGAACTTAGTTCTTTTAAGTACCAGAGGCCACAGTCTGAAATCCAGGGTCAGCCAAGGCCATACTCAGGTTGGAGTATGGAGGAGAAAGTGCAGGGCCCTGAAGGGTGCTTTGTGCTCCTTGGGTGCTTCTTCCCTGGAGCCACCTGACTCTCACCTGTGGGGAAGGGAGCTACATTCTTCTCTTCCTTGGGCACTTCTGTCAAATCTCTGCCTGTATCCTAAGGATTCATGATGGAATCCAGAATCCACGCAGATAATTTAAATAAATGCCTCCCCTTGAACTTCCTTACAATGTTTTTTTGCAGATAACTTTCACAGATTACAGGCATTACCACGTAGGCATGTCTTTTGGGGGGTAGAGGGCATCACTCAACACACTATACCATCTGTATTGTTGAGAACTGTGTAGCCCATTGTGGGGAGCCACATTGAGTTACCACGCCTTCCAGTCCTGATGCACCATGGGATCTGAAAGATCACTGTAGTCTCTCACAGTAGTGCCATGACTCGTGACTCAGCCTTTTCCCCTGCTCTGATAGCAAGGCCAGTCTTCTGAGTAGGCCTACCCTGGGGTTGGGCTACACTCACCTATTCTTTTATAATCCTACCCCTTTGCCCTGTTTGGGATAGAATGTTCCATGGAATTCCCTTTGTGTGTCCTCTTCTCTTGCTCTGCCTTTGGGTGTGGCCTTCCTAGATGTCAGTCCATCTGCTGACAGCAGACATCATAAAGCTAGACTCAATCCCCTGAAACCTGACCCCTTGCCTCATTTGAATGGCTTCTCCCCAATAAAAGGGTTCAGCATGAGCACGCGGGAACACGCTCTGTTCTCTCTTTCTGTGGACCATTAAGGTCAGAAAAGCGGTCACAGGACCCAAAGAAAAAGGTATCTCTGTCTCTTGTGTGATTATTTCCTATAGCCCAGTTCACCTGGAGTGACCTCGAGTGTTTTAGTCATGAGAAACTCGACAGCCCATCATAAAATTAACATTTTGTGGGGAGGGGATCCAGATTGTATAAAAACAAACCCAGTATACACTGTCTACAAGATATAGACTTCATTCTTTTATTTTTATAAATTAAGTTTATTTAAACTGATTAGATAAAATATAAAATGTGCACGTTAATGGCCTATCATGTGGTGTTTTGATACATGCATATATTGGGTAGTGTTTAAATCAGGTTAAACATATCTCTTCAAGCATTTGTCACAATCAAAGAACTGTCTTCCCACTCTGTGAAATGTGCAGGGTATAATTGTCATCCATAGTCATCCTATTGTGCAGCATCACAACAGAGCCTCTGGCCCCATCTGACTTGGGCCCACTGATCAGCTTCTCCATTCTCTCTATATTCTGATTCCCCCACTCGACTCTCGACTCCTGTGAGATGGACTTGTTCTTGTTCCACTAAGAGATGTGCAGTACTTGTCCTTCTGTGCCTGGCTTAGCATACTTGACACATGATCTCCAATAGACAGGATTTCATTCTTTCCTATAGCTGTACAGTCTGCCAATGTGGATGCTTAGGACACACTTCCCCAAAAGATGACTGCAGAAGTCTGGTGTGCTATCTCAAAATACACTCCTGTGGCATGTTTTAACAGACGGCAGATTCAGGAGGAGCTCTGAAAAGCTGCCCTTTTGCAGAGAAAACATACATTAGCAAACATACCTGTCAGGAGGCAGGTTGTTCCAGCCACTTTTGTTACCTGGGACAGTCTTCTGCATAAGTCAACCCTCAGTCACTGTGCATTTCCTCCCTTCATCCTCCTCCAGTTGGTCTCCACCCCCACCTGATTCCCCTTTCCTATCTGTAGCTCTGGGTGCTATATGAGTGTCAATCATGGGTCTTTGCTACCCAAAGAGGACAGCTTCCCAGGCAGAGCAGGGTGCCAACCATTAAACCAATGGGTTCTGCAGATGAGAAATGGATTATTTACCAGGTGTAGGGAGATGGGAGCCCCAAGTCAAATCGGCTTCCATGAGGATATGATTCAGGGGCATTTGTAGGACAAAGAAGCCAGTGGTCTGAGGCATGGGGACAGACTGGAGGCAGAGAAAGTGAAGTATCTGGGGGTTGCGCCTGCTGAATCGAACATGGATCTTCATAAGCCACAAATTCAGATGATGGTGGCCTCCGCATGCTCGAGGGAGGAGCTTTCCGCCCTCTGGTGTCAGAAGGCTGTCATCAGACAGTTGTGAAGGTCCAGGTGGAGGGGCCATGGATGAAGTGGCCTCCACATTTCTTAAAATAATAAAAAAGTGACCACTACTATTGTGACCCCATGGTTAGGTGTCAGCAATGCTA